TATATATATATATATATATATATATATATATATTTTGGTTTTCACATCAAATTTTCGTTTTTTTCTATCCCCAATTTAGTTGCTTCAGAAATGGTTTGCATTGCGCTTTTCTTCAGGCTTTATATATTTAATTCCGAATTGATGTTTCTCATATTTCTGTAGTTCTTCTACACGTTATCTTTCCCTGTCACTTGTATATGGCTGTAGGCAACTGTTTGAAACTAAATAATTAACGACTGGCTGTTAGTTTAATAATTAAACTTTTATCAGATTTAATCAGCTGTAGATGGTTATTTATCGACAAAGTTTTTGAGATAAATGAGAAATCTCTTTTTTTTCCAAGGGAGAAAAAGGATTTGCTAATTAAATCCCAATTCCAAGTTTCATCATAAAACTGAACTGATTGGTATGATGAAACAGATGAAAGTGGATTGAATTTACTTTTCGGAGAGTTTAAGCGGAGAAGTACAGAAAACTAGAAAGCCTGATTTCCTTCGTTATTGGCTGCAGCTTCTTTTGCGCACATTTGGTTTTTCGAAAGAATAGTTTAGATAAGAAAAGTTCTTTTTAAGGACAACTGCAGTGTTTTCTCATACTATCAGAGTGCTGCTGAGGAATGAAAGCAGAAAAGAAAGTTTAACTCTATTCAGCTGGAGTAGCGCTTTAAGTTACTAGCATCTAGTACAGTTTCTTGTTACTATTACAATTGCTGATACCGATGCTGTTGGTGCTGGCGCTGTCGTCGTCGTTGTCATCGTCGATATTGTTGTTGTTATCGATTGTCGTCGATGTGCTATGACTATGGAACGATCAAGAAGAAAAGAATTCGGCTTTGCTTCCATGTATTTACCAAGTTTTTGTTGTACTAAACGTTCTTCTATTCTCAGTTCTTTTTTGCTTGCCCCATCTTGCTATGGTTACCTCATCCATTCCTTACTGTTCACCACTGTCCTCCAAGCATTCTTCCTGACCCCGCAATCTTTTCCAAAAAAAAAACCAATAAATTTTTTTGCATTCTGCTGAATAGAAGGACGTCGGTGACTTTCAACTCACTGTAACAAGCTCCGGCTGTGCTGATTGTTCTTCCAAAGTCGCAAATTTTACTTCATATATTTAGGCAGTAAATAACATTTGATACTTCCTTTGCTCTTTTCTTACAATATTAAGCACGGATTTAGCGGTGGGAATTTCCGTTTTAGAACCTATCATACCTTATAATTTACTGGCAGGTGATGATAACGAAAAAAAGTGAGGAGGTGGAAGAAATATTTTTTTATAAATTCTTGCTACTTTTGACACTGTTTATACTGTTTGCGGTACTAAAAACTATTGTTCGTGTCTTGCTTTTCTTTTTTTATCAGATCAATTCTTTTGGTAAGGTTTTCGGTTTTTGTAAAATTTACTGCGATTCAGGTGTTGACTCACTAAATCGTTTAAAAAGAAAAAAACACGAAAATAAGGATAAAAGCAGTCTTTATTTTGCTTGTTCACCGATGATACAAATATTTGTTCCTTTTTTTTTTTCGCTGTCATTTTCCTCTTCATCAACTCCTGATTTCTGCCTATTAATAATATGGCTGAATAACAATGGATACTAAATTGTTTGTTGTTTTAAATTCAAACATTTTTTTGTGCAAACAATTGGATGATACTTTTAGTTCACCATTTATTTTCTGTCTAGTATATGAAGCTTAAAAATTAGGTAAATAGACAACTGGTATTGTCAATAATTTTTTTTTTCGTCCTTTTCTCAAACTATAGAATCGTTATTTTTGCCATCAAATTGAAGAATATATGTCGTATAAACAGTAGTTTCAAAAGACAAAAAAAAAATTCTAATTGCTTTTCGCTTTATCGATTGTTACATATGGTTAAATTGACGTCCTTAACATTGCCGACATTCACAAGTTTTAACTGGGATGAAGGGACAGAAAAAAAAAGAGAAGAAAAAGAACGTCTAAACGAAAAGAAAACAAACTTAAGTTATATTTGCCTTGAAGTTTTACACCGGAGGATTACTTTGGTTATATCAACGACGGAGGAAGAAAAAAAAAGGCTTACTCTTTTCAACAGATGCAAGCAGTACTGCAAAATAAAAAGTATACAGTACCAAAAGTTGGTCGCTTCTTAAAACAATTAAGTAAACTTTTTTTTTGCTGCTACGGTTGTGCAGTTTTCAGTTCGTCCATTTTTCGCTTCCATTAGCTGTATTTTTTTCCATTACTTTTTTTATGCTCAGATACAAATTTTTTTTCTTCAGTCAAAAACAGTGGGCAGTCCAGTAATAATTTCTGTTCCATTTTTTTTTTTTTTCATTTTTCTTCTGTTGCGATAAACAGAAGAAGATGTTCGAACGACAAAGATGCCGTATATCTTTGTTGTCTTTGTAGGCAGTGGACGAACCATCTCCGAAGAGATAACGAAGTTGATTTCAAAATTGAAAATTTTTCTGTGGACTTTTTAACTGCTGTATTTGTTTATCCAGCTTTGTGCCATTCATTTTTTTGTATCCTTTATCGTCAGTAACTTTTCTCTTTTTTTTTCTTTTAGGGGGGTGGTGGGGAGTGGGGGTGAGAGGAGAGGGTGGGTAACGGAAGGCTTACAG